GATAAACTTCTATTCTGTGGCTGAAGAAGTTTGGCTTCTCATCTGCAGAGCTTTCTTGATTAAAAACTGAAGGTTTTGAAATTTCAAGCTTTTGTAAACTCATTGAGAAGCTTGGTTATGTAACCATGATTCACATGCATGTTAGACAATTTTAGGTCTAATTTTCTAGAGAATGGTCAGAAATTTCCCCTTAATAATGTGATTTTGTRTTTGTGTTTCAGGTCTGTATCCAGTGTGGATGTGGACCCTGATCTGGTGCACATGGAAATGCAAGATACAAGTGGAGGTGCGGCAATGTTTCAACTGTTTATTTATCCCAAAATACTGTACAGAGCTGGTTGTGTCATCACAAGATAAATAGAGTTCAGACTGCAATCATCTTATTTCATTATGAATGTTTTGATTTGCTGAATCAGAGCCTCRGTCAATTCAGTTCATTCAAAAGGGGGGTATTATGCAAAATCAACTTTTTGGAGCTTCATGGCATGCTATATAATGTTATTTCCTCTTCTTAAACATACCCAGAGCGTTGCTTTGAGTCATTCATGCATGTTTGAGAAATCCTTGAGTTTCCTGTAGTAGCCATGTAGAGCTGTGTAAACACTTGCTGCTACAAAGCCCTGCCTTTTTGTACCTAGCTCCTCCTTGGAGTTCAATCTGTAGTGAAGCTCCCGCCCCACAGAGCACCCTCACACATGTCAACCCCTTTGCATAATGAGCCTCAAAAATCCGCAATTTTTGCAAAACATTCATACTACTCGCACTTGTGGGGTGGTGGCTGTTGGCCGCGGAGTTAACATATGGCAGATGGTTATTACATGTCATTTATTGTTTTTTTTAACATCCTACAGGCTCTGACATTTTGAAAATATTCATAAATCTTGAAAAAATCTGTAAGATTGTGCTATACATCCGTATACCTTGCAAAATGATGAAAAATCTGTGTAAATTATGGACAATCTATACAACTTGACATGTATGCACCCCTTTCCCGCACTTACCCACACGGCACATATGCTGACCTTGTAATACTAACTGCTTCTCAGTCTGGTTCTTTTCGGAATAAGACAATGCTTTCATCAACGAAATGTACCTTTAGATGGTGAGGATATTACCCTCTCACAACACTTCTACCAAATRTTGTAAATGGGAWWAAGCATTGTTTAAAAATKTGCTGAAGTGGGARTGTTGGAAACAGTAGGRGGTTYTTAAAGMGMCAGAGAGGCCAATGCGAAATCAAATTTATTTGTAATAAATACATTTTCATTACAACTGAACGTAATATAGTGTCTGGAAAATACATAATACCCCCGCTTACCTCTTAATTCAAATCTCACGTAAGACATATTTTCCTTACTGTTCCCAGCTAAACACAAGTTTCCTGTGAGTTTGTTTGGCAGTCGGAGCAGGGGTGTACTGCAGACACAGTTGAAATATTTGCTCACTGTCTGTGCCTAATGCAGCTGTACCCTCAAGTTAGTAAAAGAAATCCAGTTAATTACTAATAAACTGCTTTGGCGCTTTCCTTCAGGCATTGTGGCTGTCTAACTCACAACTTTCCCACKAGTCCAATTTGCATTCAGTTTACAAAATTACACCATATACTCTTTATTCCYTCAAGGTTTAATAACAAACCGAAATGTTTGCACTTAACTGCATGTAAATTACAGAAACTAAGACTGAATAAACAGTGATGATCTGTTGATACACTTTTATGTTTTTTCCAGGTAACGACTCAGTTCTGGAAAAAAAAAAAGCGTTGCTGCTTTTCCTGGAAGTTGATGATAATGAGCTCTGATTTTCAACAGAGCACAAGCTAGAATTTATTGCAAGAAATAGAGCTGAAGAAAGGTGATAAACATTTGACTTTGTTGCAGGTTAGGTAGGGTTTATATGTGGGGGTCAGTGGGGAATTAATGAGTAAATTATGGGGGGTTGGCAGTGGTCCAGGTTATTATATCAGCAGGGTGATAGACGGGTTAGCGCCCAATCCCWTCCTGAGGGCCAAGAGGGTAATAGAAGGGTGTATGTGAGATTGTAAATGCCCACMCGTGTTTATCCCTGACTTAAATTCACCCCCTGAGTGTCCACCGACCTATAATGCTGACCTAAGTAAATCTGAGCAAGCATAGTCGTTACAGTCACAAGAAGAGTGGCAGTGTGACGAGAATGAAATGTCCTTTTTTCATCCTGGCACTTCTTCACTCTATTTTACAATAAACCTGTCTTAGAAATAAAACATAAACACTTTTTTTTAAAAGCTGGAGCTCTTGGGGGGAAGCATTGTGAAATCTGTTAGCATGAATAAGACTGCCTGTGTTTGTGGTGGGTGAAGAGAAGAGGCTGTCTGTTTGGGCYGAATGCCCAGACAGGGAAGCTCTTCCTGGGGGCTAGGCATCGCCACATGGTCTTCTCTCCTCCTCCACTTCGTCCCCCTGCCTTTCCTGCCCAGATAGTTGGAGAATCAAAAAAAAAAAAGGTCTACACCGACCAGGCATGCAAATCCAATCTGTTCAATCCACCGCTTGTTGTATGGACAAGGTTAAATGTTATGCATTTTTTTAATGACACAGAGTTGAGGGATTCTCTGTGAGATGAGGATCTGTGGCCTTTGTTTGGACCCAGGACAGCTAACTGACAACAGGKACGGGACTCCTGAGAAATGGAGGTGGTCGATTGATGGATGAGCCATGTGTGCAGTGAAGGCTAACATGAAGTGTAGCTGTCATTGGGGAGATTGATGTGCAGGAAAGCACAAGTGTAACATATTCATGTGCAGATACACACAAACCGGCAGATATTCACGAGATTCACACACTTCTTTTCTTCTTGTTTTTCAAGAGACAGAAGTACATAAACACACACTTCCTCCAGTCCCTRTAGCATATACTGTGTGTTCAGGTGTCAAAGATTATTTTGATGCATTAAAATGGTGTTTTACTTGTAGATGCATCGTTTTTTTCTTAAGTTATCGCCCACAGCTAAAGACAAAGCAAAAATAATGTTTTTAGTCTGTAGGTGTAGGCATGTCTGTGTTTAGATGCACCAATAAATACAATATATATCTGAATGTTTCTTGAAGCACTGGAAAAATTTTAAAGTGCTTGTGACATGCACACACTTCAAATACAAAAAAGCCAAGGAAAACATCCCTTCATTTGGGAAACTTGGCATAATATGCATGATTTTACCCATTTTATCACATAGCTGGCATATTATCTTTTGAACTTAGATCAGCCAGAGTGAAACAGGAAGTGACATCAAAGGGGAACTTTAAGAAAGAAAACTCCCTGGTCTTTGTTTATTAAAACAATATTATTTGAACCTTAATTTTTCTTTGTGTTGCTCTGGTAGGGGCTCAAAATTATATAAAAAGCATCCAATTATTTTCTACGGTCTGTTTTCACCAATCATAGCAATGCTCTGTTCACATGCAGACATTCCTCTTTTACGTCACTTCCTGTTACTTCACATGCAACTATCTCAACAACTGTTTATCTCAGCGGTGTGATTTCTTTTTTGCAATAAGTTATTAATATTATCTTTTCAAAAATGCGTTCATATTTATGACAAAAAATTTGATGTCACAGGGCCTTAAGATGGGGCATATGCAAAATCCATGTTTTTAGCTATTAAATGCATTTTATTGTGTACTTGAGAGTCTCTAGGATTGCAGAAAATTTGAATTTAGTCTCTACAGGTGCTGCAAAGATCTTTATATTCTGTTTTGGTCGTAATTTTCAACCCGATTAGTTTTCTCTGTTTTCTGTGATGTTTTCTGAACTATTACGTCACAATATCTGTGATGGAATTTTATTGTCTTCATTCTCCTCCAGCTCTGAGTCAGACTCTGGCTCTAATATTTAAGGCAGGATGGACAAGTATTCCCTTTCGAACGTCTTTTAATAAATTAGTAAAATATTTTTGAAAAGTAAAAAAAAAAATGTTTTTGCGCAGCTATTTAGTTGTAAACCCCTCATTCCCAGTAAAATGTATCACTCTGGAAACTGAAGGCGGGGTATGAAGTGACTCATTTGGATTTGAAAAGACAGCCCTGAAGCGAGTTGCTCGGTGACACATTTCAGAAAAGGGGTGGAAGAGGGGCTTGTGGAGTTACAAAATTAATGAATTCAGACAAAGCCTTGCAGTTCCACTTTATGTAGTCAACTGAATGATTCAAATGTAAAAAATAAAAGAATTTAAAAGCATGATATGTACACTTTAATTACATTCATAGAAAGTAATAATTTAATGTACAAGGGATTCACTTTGGAGTCAATACTATTTAAGATGACTGCCACAGCGAAGCAACCTTAAGAAACATAAAATATCAACTCTCAGTCAACTGCATGTGCYGGAGAAGACACGACGTCACTTAGCATGCTATGTTTACAGAAATCAGTCCGGATGCTACACATGTTAGCATGTGAGGATTGATTCTGAAGTTGTTCAGTCAGAACAAACTAAATTATCCACCATCCTTGTTCTTGTCCAGTGTTTACAGAATTGAAATGGAATGGGAGAGATGTTCTGAAAACTAAAGGTCTGCACATATTCCATCCAACCTGCAGAAAACCTCTCTTATCGTTGCAGTTGTGTGACTAAAACTGCCATTTTCTTCACAGCTTCGAGATTTCAATCCCTTCCTATCACAACCCACAGTGACACKTATAACACCCCCCATCCACACATAAGAGCTTATTGATTGTGTGATTGGTCAGACGTTTGTGGCCATATTTGTTTATGCTGAAAACGCTCAGACCCTGCATTTTGCTTCAACTACTCACTTAAACAAATGTGACTGTTGAGATAAAACAGATAAAACAGATGTTTGGTACTGAGGAATCTTTCTGCAGAGTAGCGTGGAACTTTAACCCGGACATATTTATGGACAAATAATATCAGTTATCAGAGTTTTTTTGTTTTCCCAGAGTGTAGACTAGTGAAAATAACTTTGTGCAGGGACTCACTTTTCACTTTGAAAACCATTACTTATATATCTGATTTAGTATCACATATAAAAGTAACCTGGGTCAGATTTAAAAAAATGTATTTGTCACRTTCAGACTGTTATAATAAATCAGATATGGGTCACATATGTGTAAAAAATACAATTTGAGCCACTTTAGCCTGCAGTGTGAACGTAGCCTTAATCTACAGCTCTGGCTAGAACGATGGTGGTCGATATGCTATCCTTGAAGGAATGATAGAATTTCTTTCTTGCTGTAGCACATAAGAAGCTGTGCTAAAGTTAAAAAAAATATGTGTACATTACTATATATAAGTGAACATTCAGGTATGAGAGGACAGCAAGAGGTATGGAGAAGTACATGGGCCACTGGCTGGAACTGAGCACTTAGCCTGATGTAATAGTTTTTTAATGAGTTCTCCACCATATGCTGCTTTAATTAAACGTCTGGGCTTTTCAATAAATTAGTCACTCCATTTGTTAGACCAGACATCTTTGGAGCAAAGACAATAGAGAAATAAAAGTATGGTTCCACTAGAGAGGACTGACTCAGAGGTTACAGTAAATACAGCTTCATTTTGGGGTTAATCTAAGTTAACTCTGATTGTTTTCTTCATTTTCTTTCTTAGAAGTTAGGCTTTCTTATGAAATGCTGCTGGAAAACGGGTATTTTTAAGGATTACTGTATGTCATAACTGTCATAACCCAACTGTCTTGGGTTTTTATGCAGTTTTTGTAAACAAGTTTAGTTTTTGTTTTTTAATCATACTTTCTATACTTTAAAACCTATTTTTTTATTTTTTATAATTTATTAATTTTGTTTTGTATTTTTAGTTATGGTTTGTCTTAAAATTCATTGTATTCAAGCTTTATGAGTTTTCCACTTTTTTTCAGCCTTTGTTTCCCTCAGTTCCAGCAACTTGGGTGCAGTCTTCTGGTCAGCACACCTGTTTTTCATTGAGTTATCACACATGCTCAAGTTTTMTGTGACCATATTGGCTAAACAAAGTCAAATGACTTAAAACTAAATGTTTCCTGCAGTTTTAGCCTAGTTTATTCTAATTATTTAAGGTGACTGTAGGCACAGAACATGGTTTGGTTATTTATATTTTTAGCTACTGATAAAACTGTGTTAATCAGTTGTAATTTTTTTTTATCTAGCTACCAAATAAAATGTTTAATTTGCTGAATATGGCCTAGGAACAACCAGTTCATMATCAATGTTATAAACATTGTTTTTAAGTCTCAATTTCAACCAGAAGCCAGCTTCAATGCAAAAACACAACAACTGTCCACCCATTTCCATCTTCTGCTGCTCATCTGTTGTTGGGTCACAGAAGCAACAGGTCCAGGAGAGAAACCCAGACCTTCCTCTAAAGGGAAGTGTCCAGGAGGCATCGTAATCAGATGCCCGGACCACCTCAACTGACTCCTTTTGATGCAGAGGATCAGYGGCTCTACTTCGAGCTCACCCTGTCTCTAAGGCTGAGCCCGGCCACCTTACAAAGGAAGCTCATTGTGGCCTCTTGTATCCGGGATCTTGTTCCTTTGGTCTTGATCCACACCTCATGGCCACAGGTGAGGGTTGGAATGTAGACAGACCAGTAAATCAAGAGCTTTTTCCTTTCGACTCAGCTCTTTCTTCACCCCAACCGGAAGAAGCATTACTGTCCTCATTACTCAGGATGAGACCCCATTCTGTTGATCCATCTCCCGCTCCATCCTGCCATCACTCACACAAGACATCCAGATACTTAAACACCTCCACTTGAGGCAGAGACTCTCCCCCGACCCTTTTCCAGTTGAGAACCATGGCCTCAGACTTAGAGGAACTGATTTTCATCCCAGCTGCTTCACACTCCGCTGTGAACAGCTCCAGTCCACACTGGCAATGTTAGCCTGAAGATGCCAACAGAACCACATCTGCATACCACAGAGACAAGACCCTGTGGTTTCCAAACCAGACCCCCTCCTCTCCACGACTGCACCTTGAGATCCTGTCCATAAACACTACAAACAGGATCGGAGACAAGGGACAGCCCTGGTGGAGTCCAACCTGCACTGAGAACAAGCTCAACTTTGTGCCAAGAACGTGGACACAGCTCCTGCTTTGGTTCTGAAGGAACTGGATCGCTCTTAATAGCAACCCAGACACTCCATACTTCCGCAGCACCCCCCAAAAAAATGCCTTGAAGAACACGGTCATAAGACTTCTCCAAGTTTACAATGGTCCATGCAAAAAGTCAGGATATTAACTGGACTTTCCTAGAGTACTAGCAAGCTATGGTGCAGTTTGTAGAGGTTAAAACAAGTTGGGTACATACAAGCTACCTAAATACCATGAATGCCCATTAGGTGGAATACAGCTCTCAAAAATCCATCACTGTGTTTCTCACAGTATATTTATCATTCATGTGAGAGGTGGCCATCTTTGAAACACTTGTTTTTTTTAGAGGACATGCAGCTAAACATTCTTTCTTGCAGTTATCTTTCAATATGAAGTATTTGCAAAACATTTTGTTTTTATTGATGCCTTTAAAAAAACATGTATTTTCTCTTTAATAACTTCGCATTAATTATGTTTAAGGTTAGAAACTAAAGATTATATCAATTTTCTTGTAGGTGAGTTAAAAATTCCAGTTTACAAAATAGTTCTCCCGTCAAAATAAAAGCAGATTTTGGCATCCAAGAGGCTATGTGTGTGTGTGTGTGTGACAAAAACTTTTCTAAAGATTCAGTTCAAAGTCAGTTTGATTTGAATGATGAACGCTCCCGTTCATAAGCTTAGTGACAGATGTCGTCAGTTGTAGGTCAAAACAAGCTGCGCCTGGTGAAAAAAAATACTGGTTTTCACATCTGAACTGCTCACCTCACATGTGTGGGTGCAGGCTTGAGCGTGTGAATGAGTGTGGTCGAACATTTTCTATATTGCCAGCTTGTCACCTTTCAGAGGGGAATAATGGCTGAATGTTGCTGATGCAGCTGCTGGTTGAAATTCAACAGTGGGTGAGCTTTTACAGCAGGCGCTAACCTCTCTGTGTGCCTGAGAGGATAATCCCCCCCAGGCCATTTGGATGCTGGACCAGTTATATTTCCATGGAGAAGCTGTCATATCTTATARAGATTGGAAAATGATGTCTCAATTCAGCCTTTTTTGTCTTATCTAGTTTCCATCTTTTGCAGCTTCTGATTTCTGTGTCTGCTTTACAGTAGCCTATGGCCTAGCATACACAGCAATATTTGCCAACAAATTGTTTTTTTAAGTTTATATATATATATATATATATGTGTGTGTGTCATCATCACCTTTTATGATGCTCACTCACTTCACATCAACCTAAAACTGGATTGTGGTCAGTCCAAGATGTTTTATTTGAATGTCAAATTAAGTGTTAAATTACCATGAAGCATTTAGCAATATTAGTCTTTTTACATTAATGTCGATATTTAGAGAAACAGATTAAATGTTCATCATTCAGCTACATGCAAACTGAGTTCTTGCTCTAACAAACATTTTTCAAGGTGGAAACCTTTTGGTGTAATTGTTTCAATTAGACAAATAAAAATTTACAAAAAAAAAAAGATCTAGCAGCCTTCTTTGTACAAACCCACTATCGCTTTCTGTGCTAGTACCCAGTAAAGATTACACAAACACAATGAAGCCGTTTTTTAGATTTTTTTCTTGGGTTCTGGTTGGTTTTATCCTGACTTAATGTTTTGTTAATTTGCTGGAAAGATTTATCATTCAGTAGAATTTTTAAACAAACTAGCCTTTTTATTTTTGGTGGAATCTTTAACTATGTTAAAAATGTAATCCTGTATTAGATACATTGGTATTCATACCATTAGTACCATCTACTAGTACAGCATGGCTTGATTCAGGGTTTTTGTAAGAATTTCTGCTCCTTGCCAGGACTAATTATTATTATTATTTTTATTAAAAGGTCATTTAAAAAGATAGACAATTTGCACCAATGTATATTTGGTTTACAATATTAAAGCATTTAAACATATTCAGACCAATTAGAAAAATAAAATTAAGATGTAYATGTTTTCTTCTAAGTTCTGATTTGTTAAGGTTAGAAGTCAATTCAGTTTCAAGGATAAAGTCGAAGTGTTGAGATAAAGTCCAAATATTTTTGCTGGAAAAGAGTCAGTCAAAACAGCAGAACTCAGAGCTTCTTTCAGTCCTTCACAATAAGAGTCTCAAATCTTTGATTTTCTGACTACAGTTCAAGTATACCGTCACAATATACCAACGTGTATAGTACATGTTTTATCAAGTAAATGGCAGTTCTGTGAAAAACAACCCAAACTGATACTGAAATACAAACGTGAAAATATTTTTGGGGGGCGGCTGTGGCTAAGTGGTTAAGAGAGTCGTTCTCTGACCAGAGAGTTGGCAGTTCGATTCTCTGCTAATCAGTCATAAGTCGAAGTGTCCCTGTGTCCCATCAGTGTATGAATGTTATTTAAAGCCCTCATTCTTCTCCATAGATTAATTTGTGTATGTTAGCTTTGTAGAGACCTAGTAGAGTGCTGAGTGAATGGGTAAATGAGCACACACATTGTAGTKTAAAGCACTTTGAGTGTCCTCGCTAGATAGAAAGGTGCTATATAAGTACAGTCCATTTACCATTTTTGAGTTATTGTTAGTCACAATCTTTATTTTCTGTTTTTCTGTGTCTTTGCAGGCTACCTGTATGTTACCTGTCTCATCCAGAACTGCTCGGACAAAATGGTGACCGCTCAGTTTCTTGGGAAGATTGATCACAACTCTCTGGTGGTCCAGAATGACTACATTTTTGTCAAGGTAAATGTTATGACAAGAGGGCAGGTCTAAAGATTTGTGATTAAATACAAGAATCTTCTTTAACAAGAGAAAACAAACAAAAACAAACTTAGGAAATGACATCAGTATCTGGAATTATTTTCTTTGTTCAAATAAATTAAACATATTTTAA